ATGTATCACACGCGGTCATGACCGCGGGCCCGCTGACCGCATGCGGTCACGATCATGGCCGTGGGGCCCAAGTGGGGCCACAAAACCCCCGACATTTTTAACTCCTAGGATATTAGGTGAAAAATATATATATATATTAAAAAAAACATAATAAAAAAAACAAGTATTTAAAAGACAAGTATTAAACAAAAGTGGCCCAAGTGCGGTCCTAATATAAACAAGTATTAAACAAAAGGGGCCCAAGTGCGGTCCTAGTATTAAACAAAAATGGTCGTGGGGCCCAAGTGCGGTCCTAATATAAACAAGTATTTAAAAAAAATAATAATAATAATAATAAAAAGGGAATTTCGTTTTTCTCATTTTTTTTTGATGGCTGGTGGGATAAACATGGTGCACATGTTTCTTTGATTCTTTTTTTTTCCCAACAAATGCAAATATAAAAGGTCCTGGAACAAAAAAAAAAAAGATAATAATGAAAAGAAAAACCAAAGCCGTTTTCTTTTTTTTCCCTTTTTTTTTCGTTTTTGATAGACACACATACAGATTAATTGATTGATTGATTGATTGATTGATTGATTGATTGATTGACTGATTGGTTGATTGATTGATTGACTATGATTGGTTGATTGATTGATTGGTTGATTGATTGATTAATTGATTGATTGATCAAAAAAAGGGAAAAAAAATGAACGTCCTAGTTTGTGTGTGTATGTGTGTGTGTGTGTGTGTGTGCGTATGCGCGCGTGTGTGTGGGTGTGTGGGTGTGGGTGTGCATGTGGGCGCGCGCGTGCATGTGCGCGTGCATTTGTGTGTGTTTGTATTTTTGTGTGTGTGTGTGTGTGTGTGTGTGTGTGTGTGTGTGTGTGTGTGTGTGTGCTGTGAAACCGGGCGCTGATTGAGCGCGGGGTCGGAGCTCAAATTTTTGAGCTCCGCTCAATCCCGCATTCAAAAGAGCTTGAGCGGAGTTTGAGCGGGCGCGGGAGTATTTGTTTCCCCAGAAAAAAAAAGCAAAAAAAAAAACAAAAATCAAAAACATAAACGAAAGAAAAAAAAACATGAAATGGGTGGGTTTTTCTTTTTTTGAAGTCCCTCTGTATTTAAAAAAAAATCAAAAACATAAACGAAAGAAAAAGAAAAAAAAACTTGAAATGGGTGGGTTTTTCTTTTTTTTTCACAGAGATTTTTTTGCAGGCAAAAAATTAACAAAAATAATAATAAAAAATACAGTCTCGTAGATATGTTGGAGATCTACGACCCCATATTTTTGTTTGTATTTAACGAAAAACATAAAAACGAGAAAAAAAAACACTCACAGACCCCACCCAGCCTGGGCCTGCCCACACACGCACACATGAACACACAAACACACACGGGCACACACACACACACACACACACACACACA